ATTGTGGATAAAGTTTAAACGTCAATGTGACACAAATTCAATGTTACCAACTGTAATCAACTTCACAACAATTTGTCAAAATTAAATGTCAATTTTATGAAACATCATGTTTTTTTAACGAAAATTAATTAATTGTTTTACGTTTTTTTAATGTCAAACCTTTAGAAAGTCCTAAAAAAATTAAATTAAATTGACGTTTTTACCCGTTTGTTTTAGAAAACTCATTTATAAGGTTTTTTTTTTTTTTGAATAATTCAATGTTTTTTTAAATGAAATACATACATTGTGTGACATATCATTGAAATCAGAATTAATTATCCTATTTTTTGGTGTGAAAATCAAATATGGTGTTCATAAGAAAAAAGAAACCTGATGATAGTTTCACGAAAACGAAACGTCGGAGAAAATTTCTAGTTGTGTTATGACATTTTTCATAAAAAGTTGCCTTAAGAATGTTTTTTCAGATTCACGAAAAAACGAAGAATAAAGAAGTTATAGGCCAAAAACGAAAAAGTAATTTTTTTGTATTTCGGTCATATTTTAAAAACTAAAACGGCTAGATTAGATTCAAAAACTTAGTTAAAAATTAATTGAAAAATCATTTTTAAGCAAATTTATTTTTTTAAATAAAGTTTAAACGTCAATGTGACACAAATTCAATATTACCAATTGTAACCAACTTCACAATTTGTCAAAATTAAATGTCAATTTTATGAAATGTCATGTTTTTTTTACGAAAATTGATTAATTTATGCTTAAATCATACGAAAAAAGGAATTTGTTTACGTTTTTTTAATGTCAAACCCTTAGAAAGACCTAAAAAAATTAAATTAAATTGACGTTTTTTGAAATTTTGACGTTTCAAATAATTATTAGTCTGTCAAGTTGATTACCCTTGAATAATGATTATTCACCGGTATTATTCACTCTGTGAAAAATGACTACCCTTTTGATTTAGAAAACTCACTTATAAGGTATATATTATAAGGTAGTCCTCAACAATAGTGTATTTTTAAATAAAGTTTAAACGTCAATGTGACACAAATTCAATGTTACCAACTGTAACCAACTTCACAACAATTTGTCAAAATTAAATGTCAATTTTATGAAACATCATTATATGATTTGCCTTTACATAGATGATATATTAATTGCAACAGAAACGATAGACGAAAACTTAGAGATTTTAGAGCAAGTTTTTGACTTAATGAGAAAAAATATGTTTAATAGTAAGCTTGAAAAATATAATTTTCTATATCAAGAAATTGTTTTTGGGCTATGTAATTAATAATACTCCTAATTCAGACAATTTAAAGGCAGTGAGTGATTCTGCAATGACAACAAATTTCAAGGAAGTTCAAAATTTCCTTGGTTTGACCTCTTATTTCCGCAGGTTCATACCAAATTTTGCACTTATTGTCAAACTTTTATACAATTTATTAAGAAAAGATGCAGTTTTTACATTTAGTAGTGAGGAAGTTGAAGCTTTTAAGAAATTAAAGCAGATGTTAGAAACTGGTTTTGAGCATTTATAGTCTACATTTCGGAGTTCCAGCTAGATCGTCATCAAGTGAACATCGTTGTAAAAAGCTGTCAAGCTTGTTAATATATGATTTTTGTTATAAGTGTTTGTATCCTGGCAAAAAAAATCAAATGACTAACCGACATTTTATCGTTTTCAGAGATTTTCATGCTGTCTGGTAGCGATACTTTCTAGTTCCAGGTCTAGTGTTAGTTCTAGTGATAGTGTTAGTGTAAAACTAATTTCGATACATTTAACTTTGATATTAATGGAGATACAATCACTTCCTTTTTGAAACGTCAACGTCAATCTTCATAAAATAACCTTTAAAGTGAGTCCAAACATGACGCATTTCTCTCAAAAAAACAAAAAATTCGAATTTTCAACTATTAATTTTGACATATTTGTCAACTTCATAAAAAATCCTTTAAAATGAGTCCAAACTCGACATATTTAGCTTTGATATTGATGGAGATACAATCACTTCCGGTTTGAAACGTCAACGTCAATTTTGACATATTTGTCATCTTCATTAAAAAACCTTTAAAATGAGACCAAAGATGACGAAACATTAAACCCGAAGTTAGCAACAATGAAGACAGCAATTTAATTTTTAAATATTAATACCAACCTTAATTTTTGATTTCTTTTGTATTATATTTTTGTCTTTGTGACGAATATTAAGACATTTTATAAAAATTAAGAATATGTCAAAATGACATTGACATTTCAAATCGGAAGTTGCTTATATCTCGAGTAATGTTGGAATTAAACGTATCGTGTTTGGACTCATTTTAAAGGATTTTTGACGACGATTGCAAATATGTCAAAATTGACGTTGACATTCTTAACCGGAAGTTGACCATAACTTCATTAATATTGAAGATAAATATGTCGTGTTTGTACTCATTTTAAAGGATTTTTAATGAAGATTACAAATATGTCAAAATTGAGGTTGGCATTTTAAACTTGAAGTTAGTTATTATATAATAGAAGTTTTATAACTGAAGTTAGTCACTTTTCAGCACTTTCTTTTTATTTTTAACGTGTTTTTTGGGTCATTTCACATTGATTGAAAAAAAATCGTCGATTTTTAAGCCACATGATGATTCTTGAATTTTTCCCCAAGTTTCTTAATATTTCTTGTAACACTTCGTGCTTAATTTCATTTTACAACTTTTTAAACTTTAATTTTGTAAATTAGTCACTAATAATCTGATTTCGACTTTGATATGTGATCTTTTTTAACAAAAGAAAACGAAATATTAAGGAACTTGTTTGTAAAATGGATAGGGTTAGGGATGTTAATCTATTTGTTAGAGTCTCTGAAGATGGCCAAGGGCCGAAACTAGTTAGACTTAAATTCTATATAAAATAGAAACCAATTGAAAAGTACAAAATCGAACTCTAGATAATTGTCTTCAAAACTTTTTACATGAAACATCAATTTGACTCTAGTATTTGTGATTAAATTTATGCCATGACTTACAGAAACAGCCTGTATAATTGTAAAACGACTGACCAAGCGGATTCTGTGCTTGTGATGGCTGTTATCAGTGTTCTGTGATAAAAAATCCTGTTTTTCTCAACATTGTCTCAACGCGGTCCAATTAATACTTAATTATGAAAATAATTAAATTGAAATAACCTTCAATCCCAAGTCGAATCTTCTTTAAATCGCGATCTTTTAAA